CGTAAAGCAGACACTTCGAGAGCTTGAATGGGAAGTTCTGCCGCACCCAGCGTACTCTCCAGACTTGGCACCGTCGGATTACCATCTCTTCCGATCGATGCAACACACACTTACGGACACACACTTCTCCAGTTATAACGAAGTCCAAAAATGGGTGGATAAATGGATCGCCTCGAAAGACACCGCGTTCTACCGTCGTGGGATTACCCTGTTGCCGGAGAGATGGGAAAAATGATAGGAATTAAGTTTAACACCTATTAGGTGTTAAACTTAAATCCTATCATTTTTCGTCTCCAAAATTGATTTGTTTCGAAGGGAAGTTGAATGAATACCTTAATCAAAGTAATTTCCTCCATTTTCTACTTTATTACTAATTAATAATACTTTATTAATAATACTTTGATTAAGGTATTTCCCTTCGAAACGAATCAATTTTGAAGACGAAAAACGGCAGGAATTAAGTTTAACACCTAATACAATTACATTATGAGCACATTTTTTATTCATATTGTTATTTATATTGTTATGTTAATATATAAATGTAAAGTGTCAATATCATTCTATATACACAGGATGTCCCAGATTTCGCGTGACATCCGTTAATAGCAGATTTCTCACTAGAAATCATTCCAAGACGAAAATTCTAATATCAAAATGTCGAGGCTACAGTAGTTTTTAAATGAAAAGGGTTTTAATTTAACCAATTTTTTTTTTAATTGTTCGAAATTCATGCATTTAGGCATAGCATGTTGCACGATAGTGAAGATATTTTCAAGCATCAATTTTATTTCACTTTTCTAAACATCTTCACTACTGTACGATGTGCCATGCCTGATCGCGCGAATTTTGAGTTCTGTTGGCTGAATTTAAATTCTTTTCATTTAAAAACTACTGTAATCTCGATATTTTCGTGTTAGGATTTTCATCTCGAAATAATCTCAAGAATCTGTTATTAACGGGCATCACGCGAAGTCTGAGACATTCTTTTACACACGCACGCACGCACACATACACAGTAATGTAATTTGTAATATTTAGGTTTTAGAAAACAAAGTTGGTGATGCTGTATCTCTGGCAATAATATTCCAGAGTGTAGCAAGGAGACTTGGCGTACGCTGTGATCTAGTAGCGTTTCCTACTCACTTTTTTTTAAGTTGGAAACCGAAATCGTAAGTATAATTTAGAAGCATTTTTTATTTTATCAGACTTATCATATATTTACATATTGATACAAAATAAATCATAAATAAGTCATAAATATGTTTTTAATTTTTGCGTTCCTAAATTAAAAAAAAAGGACAAATATTCCTATGAACGCAAAGTTGCAAATGTTTCGGTTATCGAAATAACAAATAAAAATATTTGAAATAATGCGCCAATCGTGTATACATCCACCTTAGATATATATAGAAAATGATAAAAAACACTATTTCTTGTAAACAAAAAAATAATTCTGAAAAATTTCAAATGTTATTATTTGATATTACCATATTTGTATCCATTATTTCAACAACGAAGCATTTGCGAACCTAGTTCATAGGAACATTCGTTCTATATTTTTGTATATTTTTGTAAGAACATGTTCAAGATTTGTAAGACATCTTGTACATGTACCATATAAGCATATATATCTATATAAATGTATACGTGCATATGTGAACTACATATTCTTTTTTTTTTATTGTCTATATAGTATTACAGAAAAATATGAAGACGAAGAATATTTCTATATTGACATCTTGCATGGTGGAGCTATTGTGGGTAGAAATGATTGTCCCAAAACTCGTGGTAGAAGATGTCCCATCGAAAATTTTAATAAACACAGTGAGATTAGTCCTACAGAGGTTGGTTATTATTTATATATCTTATTAAATTTAGAAATAAGTAGTAAAAATATAGATTAGTCACAGATAAATCAACAGGGAATAAATCAATAAGACATACATTGTATATAAGAGAGTTTTATATGAAGAAATTAATTTTTCTATTTGTTGCACTGTTAACTTAGTTTATATACATCTTCGTTTTAAGATTGTGTTACGGATGATTTGCCATTTACAAATGGTTAATCCTAATTACCAACATTATCAAGACAGAACTCTGCAAATACGCTCATTGCTGGAATTCCGTTGTATGATAAACCCATACGATTTAGACTGGATTCAAGCGCTAGGTCGTCATTATATGCAAAATCAAATGAGTTTATCAGGTCTTTTAATCTCACTACAAAAGATACGGGTAAATTTAATTTATATATAAATCAAATTCTGACATTCTCATAAAATTTCTCTTTTTTTTGCAAACTTGTTTTTTCGCAGTACGATAAGAATTGATTGTTTAATATAAGAATGATTACTAATATGAATAAAAGGAAATTTTTTTTTATTTTTTATATATTTGTTGTATAAGCAAACTTTGAGCTATGATATATTAATTTTCATATATTTGTACGCTAATGAAGCAACTACAGGAAGTGTTTTGAAGTAAACTTTGTTTTTCTATATGCAGGACAGTAACAGAATATCTATGGAAGTAATTCGAGCTGAAGAACTGTTAAATAAATTTAAACTTTATATGCAGAAAAAAATGGTACGTATTTATGGTAATTTATAATGAAAAATATGCAATTTACGTATATATAAAGTCCACTTTATACTTCGAGACACAATTCTATTTCTAATTTTATGTATGAAATTATAAATATAATTATAGATAAAAAAGAGAGAACTTCTTGTATTAAAGCTTTTCATTTATATTTATATCGATAAAATCCGTTTGCTTATCCGATTTGACAAGACTACTTATATTAAAAAGTGCTTAGAAATTTTCAGTTTTTATTACAGCAGATACAATTGATCAATCACGGGTATACTTACAGTGCGCACATTTAATATCTTTTATTTCTAAAAATAAAACATAATTATGATTCTGATAGTTTATATATTTTCTGTATTACTCAATGCATAAAATTTATAAATAAAATTCTGTCATGAATTATAGATCATATAAAGTGAGCTTTAGATATAGTGTGTAATATGTTAACTGCTCGCTGCAGTTGTACTGAATGAATAGATATGATCAATGGATCAACTCATTTCATGAATTGATTAAAATATCATATTAATTATTAATACTTAACTAATAATTGCAACTTGAATATGAAAACTAATTTGGAAACAGTAAAAGTTTATGAAGTAATACATGTATAAAAAAAGACGTTGGTTAACATTGTGAGAGACCTACATTTTTCAGACTCGGTCATCACATGAAAATATCAGTCCACCAAAGGCAAGATGTAAAATAAAATATCCAATTGGAATGATTGTGACTAACAAAAAGCATGTGCCATATTATACAGGCGTGATTATTGGATGGAATAAAACATATAATTCACGAGATCGACTTCTACCTAACTCAAGCCGGAAGCTAAAAGTAGATATGTTAGAATGTAATTCTGTGACACAACCGTTTTACTTTATTCTTAGTGAAGACGGTAATAAGTATTATGCTTCCGAAGGTACAAACAGATTACTAGATGTGCTTGTGTATATACATGTACTTTTATGATGTCATTTATATGCGTATAAGTGCAATATAAAAAATTTTTCTATTTTAGATTCTTTAGAGCCATGTCCACCAAGATGGATTGAGCACAACGAGATTGGCCGATATTTTTGTAGATTTACAGGGTCCCACTATATACCTAACGAAGTGTTAAAAAGACAGTATATGTTCAACGAACTTGTTCTCGACAGGCTTTATTAGAGAAAAATGCTTCATTATCTACACCTTTAGTCTTATTTGCTAAAATACTGTCGTAATTAAAAATTGTAAAGCACGCTGCTTTTCATTGAACAAATCATTATATTTAAAACAATCTCATCACAATAACTAATTAACCACATTGCGATATTTTAGTTACTGAACGCTTATTTATGGCACATGAAGAAATGTAGTACGAAGAGATTGTTTTAAAAATAGGAAAACTGTGATGATTATTATAAAACAATATTTTTCTAAAGAATGTATATATTTTTTATAAGGAGAAAAAATTAAACTTGTACATAAATATTTAATAAATATATATTTTATGTACACTCAAGGACTTCAATTCTTTCCCTCGAAAATTTTCACAAATTGAGAAATAACCATTTTTCTACATTAATGCTCATAGCCCGTGCGCGATTAACGATACGTCCACTTATAACTAAATGACATAAAGACGAAATAACCTGAATTTTTGGAAGTTTTAAAAAAATAACTGAAGAAAGGAATTGAAGTCCTTGGGTGTACATCACAAAGCGCGATTCACTTTTTATATTTAAAAGAATCTTATTAAAGTGATTTCGACAATTTTATGTCTATTAATTTCTATTTTGTACCAATTTAATCTCAGTTTAACTTGTTTTTTATCTTTTTGTTCTAAGAATTATTTTAAAAAATAGATAAAGTATGAAACTAAGATTGAAATTAATAGATACTAATAAATAATTAATGTTTTTGGTTAAAACATAAGTAGAGAATTATCATTTTCTAACTTACCGACAACAAAAACTTTAAAAATTAAAAAACAAATATACAACTTACGCGAGACGAATTTTCCTCTCGAAATAAATTCTACGTATATATGAACGTATATACAAAATGACAGGAAAATTAGAGATAGTTTTCTTACGAGTGTATTTAAAATATCGAATCAAACCCATGATCACGTGATAAGAGGCAGCCATCAGAAGCCATGACGTCAAAATGTATACATTTCTAAAAACACCGTCATGATACTCGTCAACACGCGTTATATCTTGTATACAGAAGAAAATATAAATAATTCAGACAAAGGATACGTGTTTCTAGAAAAAAAAGGTGAAAGAAGAAAGGATAGTACAATCCAAACGGGATAGGCATCCAAAACGCAAGAAGAAACGAGCACTTGTGACTATCTCCTCTGTGACTATTCATTTTGATTTACGCATCTTGACACATGTATATACCCAAATCTGTTGAAGACAAGTTTTGCAAAGTTATTTGATATAAATTATTTTGACAGAATGCCAGCAGAAATACAACAGGATCTGTGTAAAATGTGTTAGTAGATTGATTGTATGAATCGAGTAGAATTTGTCATTTCGTAATCATTAGCTGACGGTAGCCAAGTTACTCGAGATTTGATGGGTATTTATTAATTGTAATCTTCGAAAGTTCATACATTCTCTGTACATTGCAATGGTCTCAGAAATGAAATTTAAAAACTGCTGCTTTTTTCCTGTTTTATTTATGTATTATATTTATGTGCGGAGCGATTTTTTTATTATCTAATAAAGAAGGATCAAGAATAACCTAGGGTATGGGCAATGTGAAGCTACAAATGCTTTAAAGCGTTTTTATATTAGTCGATTTGTAAAATTCTTTCTTTTGATTGGTCCATCAAACGCTTCAAAGCATTTGTAGCAAGACTGACTACAGCCTCAGTCAGTCTTGCAAAGTTTCTTTGTAAATGTATAGTATATAAATATATCTAAGTAGTGAATTGTATGCATCTTTGATCTCTCTTTGAGATTATATAATGCCTCCTTTAAAGAGTCTTAAACAACACATGAAAATTTTATCAATACTGATTTATTAAGGATCTGACAAAATTAATATGGGGATAGTAAATGACAATTACATTTAAGTTTTAATTATTTTATGCAATATCTTCCAGGGCAGGATTGAATGAACCATAAATCGCCAGTGTTGAATAAAAAATAATATTCCATTTGAACAGTTATAGAATGACAGATTCTGTTGGCAATCTGCTATCAGATTATTCTACTGGTAGAACATAAGCTGTAATGTATAGGTGCTCGTAATATGTTATTTGTCCTTTTTTAACATTCGGTGAATAATAAGAATATACGATGCATTATGCGTGAAATAGAATACATATCATAGATATAAATTTCCCGCAATATTTTGTTTGAATCTTCTAGCGAATTGCTAGCGTACTTTGCTTAACGTTTTGTTTATTAATATACAAGTTCAAGGATAAATAAGTTTCTTTATTTCTCAGAATAAAATATTCAAGTTTATTTTTTATCGTTACATTTTTCCAGATAAATATGTACATTAAACTTTATATTTCTGATTTTAGTACTATGCCGGTTTTGCCTGCAAATTCAAAGCACTTATCTCATGATGCTCATCCGACGAATCCATACAAGAACGATATTGTGTTAAGTTATCATGACTACTTACTCAGAACATCGGATGTCGCATTATTGGAGAGAAATGACTGGCTTAATGACATTATAATAGGATTCTATTTCGAATATCTGAATCAACAATATAGGAAGGATAATAAAAGCCAGTTATTATTTATCGGGCCCGAAGTAGCTCAGTTATTAAAGATGCAGGATTCTTCACAATATAATATATTTCTGGATCCTATTGAAGCTACAAATTATGATTTCATATTCTTCCCTCTTAATGACTGTGATAGCAACGAGGCAGGTGGCTCGCATTGGAGCTTATTAGTATATTCTCGTATGGAAAAAATGTGTTATCACTTTGATTCGTCAAGCGGTATTAATGGCTTTTCTGCGAAAAAGCTTGCACGGAAAGTGACAAAATATTTTCTTGAGAAACAGGAGAGAAAATATATTGAAATGGATTGTCCACAACAAAATAATAACTACGATTGTGGTTTATATGTTTTATGTTTAGCAGATATAATATCTAGACACGCTATAAAAAATTCTAAAGTAAGCGATTGTGATTGTAGTATTGTTCCAGAAATGGTTTCAAAAAAACGTAGCAATTTATTAAAATTAATTCACGATTTGAAAAGTACATCTAATGCATAGCAGAATTGCTATTAATATGTATTAATAACAATTCTAACTACACACAATATGTGGTATTAGTGTGATTATGATTTACTTATATAACAAACTTTACTAATGCTCTAAAGTACTAATATTCCTTAATTTTTTTCTATTATTTTTTTTGACATTTACTTATATAATTATGTGACATTAATATACCAAAAATACTTCAAATTTTTTCATAAAAGTTCTTTCTTTTAAATAAATAAAATTTCAAAATTTTATATCATTTATCAAAAGAAAAAGATGTAACGAGTTAAATATCTCTCTGTATCTTAAAAGCAATTCTTTAAGATTAGGAAATGTTAGAAAATCTATTGTATCAACTATATCTATTGTATAAATAACATGCACAACAGTATAAAATGTAATGTGATTAGTTGTTGAAGTCCATTTGATCAAATAATGATTAATTTGGACAAATTCAGTACAAAATAACGCGTAACTATACAAGAGCGACTTATAATTAGCGAGAGATCCCAATGCGTATCTTATGTTTCGATTTACAAGAGATTGCTTAAAGAATTGAAAAAAAAGAATACGAGGTGAATTGTAACCCGCGTTTTGGGAACAATAAAACTGATATATACAGTACAAATGTGTGTGAAAGTTTTTATAACACAATATTACAAACCTTAAAATTATACAAGAGTCTTTTATTTAAGCTGATAAGTCTAATACTAAAAAAAGGTAAATTAATATACTTAAGAGAGCAATGTGCATATATACATATATATATATATATATATATTTACTTTACAAAAGATACATAAAAGTGAAACAAATAATTAATAATTTTTCTGAAGTACAATCTTAGTAACAAATACATTCTTAGTAATAAAAAATCATCAGTAAAACCAGAAATTTTATGTCGATATCCTTCGAACATATGTACATATTTGTGGTAACGTCCCGTTTGATCTTGTTGCGATTGACCACAGTTATTCTAGTGCCTAGTTTTTTCGAGACAAACTCTGTGAGTGGCTTGTGATCAATTACAAAGTAGTCAAACGACTCTCGCCCCATATTTGTACATATCTGTAACTACGTCTGATGTGAAATTAATTTATAGATGGCTATAGTAAGATGCATGAATTACCATATCCCGTGTAATATCTTTTACAGACCTGCAACCTAGAAGAAACATTGATTTTTAAAATTTTTTACTAAATCAATAAAACATTGATGTAAAAAATTATGCATTATTTTACCAGTTAATGCGAATGTAAAATCAATTTCTTTTCTCATAAGTTCAAGAATCTCGTAAGCACCTTTCTCGCCATTATATGCCAAGCCCCATAGCATCGGTCTACCAATAAATACCTGCAAAAAATACGATCAATTAAATTTGAACAAAAATGTAGTAAAAACTTTATGTAACAGTAAAAAAATTATTTGAACAATATAATACGTCTATAAATTAAACGAAAACTATTTACATATCTATAATATTTTATTATATTATATATATATATGTTCAATGAATACCATTTTTGCACCCAATGCCAATGCTTTGAACACGTCAATGCCTTGCATCACTCCACCATCCATATAGATTTCAACTTTATCTCCTACGGCTTTGCTTATTTCAGGTAAAACTTCGATCTGTGAATACAATTATTTCAATAATTCACGTACAGTATATACTATACAATCTTCTAAATGATTGTCTAATACTCCAAGTTTTCAATATCGAAAGTTGTTTAAACAAGAAATGAACCAACCGTTGCTGGAACACTATCTATCTGACGCGCACCATGATTTGATACTATAATGGCATCAGCCCCATTTTCCACGGCTAAACGTGCATCCTCTACTGTTAATACTCCTTTAAGAATTACCGGTAGTTTTGTAATTCTACGACAAATTTGATTCAAATTGATATTTGATTTGCTCGCTATATAGTAAAAGATGCCCGTATTCATATAGTCAATGAAATAATTCGTAGAGCATCTGAAGATAAATTTAAGGAAGCCTTAAATATAAGGCCTGACTGTGAATACGGGCAGTACTGCTCCAAAATGTCAAGATAAGGAAAGTTCACAAACAATGATATGCAGATACCTTTTAAGCCATTTTACGTCATCCCAGGAAAGAGATGTATCGAACAGTGCAGTAACATATTCATTAAGACCAGAGCCAGTCTTCGCTGAATTTATTCGTTTCGCTAAATCACCTTGGAAATTTGCGAATCTAAAGCAAAAACATAAAATTCTATTTTTATCGTATATTATCATAAATTTCACTTAAATTTAAAATACATAATATATCTAGGGATTAACTATTTCATTGTGTCTATTATCTGTTGTCTATTATCTATTTTAAATTTTAAATAAAGTTAACTAATTTCTTGTATTTGTAAATATTGAAAAATAATCTAATCTTTTCTTGATAGATTAGCTTTGAAAAGTAAAAAATGAAAAATACTTTTTTCTTTATTTTAAACATAGAACTCTTACAAATACTGCCGTTAATTATCTTTGTATTCTTTACAGTTAATAGCAATTTATTAACTCATACTGTTCAGCTACGTATTTTTATATAAGTACATTACATATTCAATATTTTCTACATGTCTCTAGGTGCCTACCTCAAATGACTAGGTAATGAAAATTTATTTCTCAAATCGGCGCGCCGATCACCAAAAATTGGCGCATCGATGGTGAGAACCAGCGCTTTAAAACCAGCATGTTCGGCGCGTCTTATCAAATTTAAGGTAACACTTCTATCAGTATAAACATAGAGCTGGAGCCACTTTATACCCTTCGGTGCAGCTTCTGCCACTTCCTCTATACTGCTCGTGGCTATCGTCGAAAGAGTGAAAATCGTTCCTGCTGCTTGAGCAGCTACAAATAGATAAAAGTGACAAAACCATTTGTAGTAAAAAAATTTAAATAATATATCTATAATTAATTGAATAAAGCTGTTCGAATATTTTATTATACATATATATACATAATTGTATATATTTATTATATGTATAATAAAAATATTCGAACAGTTTCATTCAATTTAGAAATTTGATTTTAAGCGATCTGCTGGTTGAAAAGACGAAAATTGTTTATTTTCTTCTCATAGAGCTCTAAGAATTTTTTCAGAATTTTTTTCAGAATTTTTTAATACCGTATTTTCTCATGATGTGGTAAAAATGAAAAAATGCAGTACTAAAAAGTTGATGAAAAATTTTGAAAAAATTCGTAGATTTCTATAAGAAGAAAATAAACAATTTTCGTTTCTTGCAATTTTTCTGTAAAGTTGATAGTACTTAAGTAAAAAATTATTGAAGACCAATTTTTAGCAATTTTTAGCAATTAATATCTTGTTAACTATTGTAAAAATTGCAAAATGGTAGAAGACTTTTCTTCTCAGTTTAGTCCATTCTACCCCTTTGCGAAAGATTTATCATTATTTTCCAAACACCTTGTATATATAAACTTAAGTGATTAAATAAATCAGCAGAAGCTTAAAGCAAAAAATTTCTAATAAATTATAATTAATTGTTCTTAAACTAATATTTCTTCCATATACTGAACAACAAAACACTAATAGTTCTATCCGCGTGTATTGTGATAAATAATTATCATATACTGATATGTATTATTAGACATATTAATAAAATAGTACTATCAAATGTCTCGTCAAGAGAGATGTATGTCAACTATTTAATTGGTACACATATTTTATATGTACGATTTTAAATAATTGTCGAAAAAGGATAAAAGTTAATTAACAAATACACAGAATTTTTAAACGTCTTATATCTTTTAACAAAAGACGATAGTACGAAATGATGTCACGACGAAAATAATACAATGAGAAAGAATTGCGTACATTTCTTAATTGTTACTTCCATATGTATCTTTCACAAGAAGATCTGCTGCATGAGTTACGAATAATACAGATAATGACAGGTTACGCGTGTTGCAGAAACAGGTCGCATGACGTAATCCTACAGGTGAAATCGAGATTTACAATACTAGTATTATAGTTGGAACAGTGCAACGATATAACGCGCTATAATCTCAATAGGAAAATATACAGAGCGATGTGACGTCGCAAATTACCGTTGCAGAAACTAAATCAGGGTAAAACATGCTTAAACAAATTAACAAGATCATATTCAATTAATAACGATATTTTAAATCGAAGTTAACTCTTCGAAATTCGACTTTAGAAATAATTTTAAACAAACAATATCAAATGTTTGGATCTTCCCCGAGGGTAACTTCGACTTCAGTTAACTTACAATTAATCGAAAATTAATTTTAAACAGCAATTACATTATATATATTATATGGTATTCATATTTTATAAGCATGAAAATAAAATTATTCATTTTTGCTACTTGAAACATGGAAAAAAGGATCAGAGAATAATTACAGAGGCAAGCAATTCCGCCAATAAAATTAAACGCAATTAAGTTAATTGGTAATTACAGTTTTTATCAAAACAATGCATGTCAGCAATATTTTGTTAGCTTGAATTGTAGCTTGAATTGTGGTTTGAAAAAACGTATTTAAATTATAAAAATGCAAATAATTCTGTTGATTAAATTAATCGTCGCCAATTAATTCAATTAATGAATAATTTTTTGTAACAAGAAAAGTATACATTTTTGCTTGAAGCAATGAAAAAAAAAACTAAAAAGTAATAAATTATATAGTAATTAGCAATTTTTCTTCGAACGATCGAGAGATTATTTTACCGGTTAAATTAATAATCAATTAAATTAATCGTTTCATCGAAGTTATTTTTAGCAAAAGACTACTTATATAAATAATTTCCTTAAAATTCATATTCTTATTATTTCTTATTTAAAAATACATTTGTGCATAGGATTATGCAAGAACAATTAAAATTACGATCAATGCTAATCGATAAGAATCGTTAAGTTCGCACAAACGGCAAGAGATGGGCGGATAAGCGAGATCGCGCGGGCGGAACCAAACAGAAAAAAAACAAGTTTCCTTGGCGAAGTT